AAGGTGTGTCTTTTGCTTCTGCTGTGCCTTCACATGCTTGCTGTTGCCATCTTTCTCTGGAATCTAGTATAGTGTGAATGGCTGTGGGGAGATCCCCACTGCTGTAATATAGTGTGTTTATCTCATGGAAACATCTTGTTCTACTGCACACTTTTACGATTATAAAGATGATTTTTTCCTAGGCTGTACTGTCTAATTGATAATGATATTGTTAATTTATATAGAGTTTTTATGAATAAAAACAAACACAAGGAAATGTTATACAGCTAGGACCATGAGTTTCACCTAAGAGCTACATAGATTGCAGCCCAAGTTAATGACCAAGAAAAACAGCTGAATCCCAGGAGCCAGGCTGGTTCAAATTCCTTTAATCTTAATGCTAAAAGACCCTGACACAGGTTTTGGTGTGCATCATTAGCTGAAACAAAGCCTCATAACAATTTCTGGTTAGATCAGATGTCTTGGTAATAGCTTTAAGGTGAAAAAACCAAGAAGACAATCTGAAATTTTAAAAAGGCACAGTTACCCAGCATTGGTGGTGCATGGAGATCTCCATGAGTTCAAGGTCAGCCTGGTCTATAGAAGCTAGTTCCAGGACAGCCAGAGCTACAGAGAGAAACCTTGTGTTGGGAAAAAAAAAAAAACCACAAACACATGGTTGAGTGAGGTCAGAGAACAAGAACAAAGCCTCCCATCATTAGCTGATGTACTTTCTTTTTTATTTTTTTTATTTTACTTTTTTATTTTTTTGGGTTTTCGAGACAGGGTTTCTCTGTGGCTTTGGAGCCTGTCCTGGAACTAGCTCTTGTAGACCAGGCTGGTCTCGAACTCACAGAGATCCGCCTGCCTCTGCCTCCCCCGAGTGCTGGGATTAAAGGCGTGCGCCACCACCGCCCGGTAGCTGATGTACTTTCTTACTAGGACTAGATGATGACCAAAGGTGATGATTAATTCCTTATACCCATTTCTGCCCTTGATCTCCTGATATTAAAAAAACTATTGAGGAGTTGGTATGCACCCTAAAGTTCTAAAGTAGACCTGATTCTTTTTCATATATAAAAGTTTAGATTTGCAAGTCCTTTAAGATTCCTTATAAGATTACCTTTCAAGACAAGTAATTGGTCTTTCCTTTGTAACTACAAAACAGAGTCTGCCAGTAAAAGACCTGACTGAGAAGAGTATCTTGCTTGCCCACATGGTTAATCTATAACAAGTTGCTTGGGTACGAATGTACGTGGGTTCTTGGAATAATTTGTTTTTCTCCTGTAATACGTAAAATGTTTAATCATGTAGGGATGTGGAAAACATGCTGTGGTTTACTGGTATTCGTTGCAATCATTCACTTGAAAAACAGAATGTAGCCACCTTGTCAATTTTATATTGCCACAAAGATTTCGTTGGGGTACAGAAGAGAAGAATAAAGAAGGAAACCATTAAGAGGGTGAGCATCTTTTCCCTAACACCCTTGGATAGGAAAGCGTAGTACATTGGCTCCGCTGACTCTGGGGATCCCTTCTGAACCCTGCTGCTGGAGGCTGCCCCACTCCAGGCAGTGACAGAAGGAATTGTGGGGGAGAGGTCTGAGGTGGAAGATGAATGAAGAGTTGAGCAGAAAAGGGGATAGCTAGGGGGCTAACACTAAGATAATTGAAAAAGCCATACAGATGGATACCAGCTGTTTTTACAAGACACACACACACACACTTCATACACACCTTATACAGGAGATAATTTTCTTCTCCCAGAGGTCATGGGTTGCCAAATAAAAAGCCAGTGCCAGACACCTCCCCTCAAGTTGTTGGTCAGTAGTATCCTGGAAACCCCCAAAACAATACAATATACTCTGTTATCATTGGTCATGGTTACCTAGCAGAACTTGATGCTAAGACCCTTTTACTTAAGACACCATATGCTTTGATGACAGGACACAGGAAATAAACAATCTGGTGCTAACTAGAAACCTTGCTCCCTGCTGTCTAGCTTTCCCAGCACCAAGGGACACTACACAGAAAGCTGGAGGTGAAAAGTCAGCCGCGGCCTTACACGGTCATGAACCCTTGCAAGTTACAAGAGTGACTAGCCTGGCAAAGTAAGCCAGTGGTGCAATAGTGACAGGGATGCTATCGGGGTAACCAAATGCCTTCTCAGTGGATTTGAGGTCCACTCCAAAGGAGGAAGTACATGCCTGGTATTGTAAACCAGGCTAAGAGCCCATGGGTAGGCGGATCAGAAGCCTGGGGGGAGGGGCTGCTACTATTAGTTTGCTAAGCGGACATAGTATCGAAAGACCTTCTAAATACAATCCTCTGTACCTATAGATTAGCACTACATGAAGTCTTTGTGCAGCAGACAGCGGTTATGTAAAAACTCAACAAGTCATCAATAGAGATCGATTGATAAGAACTGTGAATGAGAGCTGTGAGCTGATGAGAATTCTGTCTCAATCAAAGAGAATAAGTGTCAGTGGAAATCCAGCCACAAATGGGACATTTGGAGCATCGTGAAAAAAGAAATGAAAGGATTATAAGATCCAGAGGTTTGGGAGGCCTGAGATAAAAGAGCGTCTTATGGACAGGACAGGACTGCAACACACATGACTTCACGGGAACTGTCATTGGTTGCATAAGACCCGTACAATGGCAAACCAGGCAACATTCCAGCAGAAGTGGGAGAGGGGCTCAGATGCTTCCAATCTCTTAACTGAGGAACTAGTGACAGTTGATGGTTGCTAGGAGCGAGGCAGAGAGAGAGAGAGAGAGAGAGAGAGAGAGAGAGAGAGAGAGATTCCTTTAAGAGGAGAGGAGAGCTTTTTTTAAAGGTGTGGTCCAGGTAGATTACCCATGCTTCAATGGATGGCTCTACCCCCGTGCATATATGGGCTGCACAAGTCAGAATCAGTGTGTCTAAAAGACAAAATTAAATTATAAAGGTGAGAGAGAGGTCATGAAGTTGAAGGTAGGTTAAAAGCTAAGACAGAGATCTGGGAGGTACCAGAGGAATGAAGGTGACTATGATTGAAATTCCCAATGAATTAATTTAAAATATTATACAGAAAGTACAAACATTTGCTCAGTCTTAGAAGCATAAAATAGTAGCACATTGGCCGAAGATTAGTAAAAAGCTCCAGATATACAATCCAGGAGACAGTTCAATGATTCCGCTACGTCACCATAAGATGTATAGAGCATTAGGTCAGTGGCAGCTTAAAATAAAGACAAAAGCCCAAGGAAAACACTATGTGTGGCTGTCAGTTCCCACAAATGAGAGCAAAGGCTGATCTCTCTTCCCAGTCACCAGCAGCAACAGCTTAAGGATACTAAGGACATCACCAAGCTACAGGTGACAACATACAAGAAGGATTAATACACCGAGTGACAAAACCAAGATCCATCCGGAACATCTCAGCTAAAGGTTTACTATGATGAAATTTGTCATGGCTATTTCAAGTTCTTATCCTTATATCCAAAACCCACATTTATAAATGTGGAGTAAGGAAAGGATGGCCTGAGAGCAGTTATGCAGATATGACTTCTTTAGAGTCAAAGAACAATGATGCCATCGCCACTTGTTGAGCATATCACTGCACACACTGTCAATGTTCCCTAGCAATTTTCATAGTTCTGAAAGGGAGGTTATTGGCATCTCCACTGTAAAGATGAGGAAATAGGGAATTTGAAACTTTAAGTAAAATGCCTAGAGTCGAAAACCTAATCATTATTGAAACCTGGGGTTGAATCTATCTAAAACCATATCCTAACCAATATGTTGTTACCTTATTTAAAAATAATAGTATCAATAAAAGACCTAAAGACATTCTTTGGAATGTACAAGTCTCAACTGGATTACTGCATTCCATTTTCTCTAAGTTCATTCCTTCGTTAGGTAGAAATAGAGAGATATTAGGTGACAGATTAAACAGATAGGTGAGTGGATGGGAAGATAGATAGATAGATAGATAGATAGATAGATAGATGATATGCAGACAAACGGACGGATGGAGAGACAGAAAGACAGATAGATGAAAGACAGATGGAAGGATAGATGATGGATAGATGATGGATGGATGGACAGGTGATAGATAGATGATAGATAGACAAACAGACACAGACAAGATTTTTCAAAGGCATAGACACAGCATATTCTGAGAGGGCTAGCAAGCATGTCCCATGAGATATGAATAAAGAAACAAAGAACTCATTGCAGTATCAGGAAACAGGCTTACATGTTGAGTTTAGCCAAAATGGCTCTCTCGTGTTAGTTTTGTGACCTTTTGCATCAGTTTGTCACCTGTAAAGTGTGCATGACAGTCACTTCTCAGCATTGCTGCTTGGATGTAGTAATAAGAGCGGCGGGGCTGCGTCCCCGTCACCCCGGCCGCCTGCTAGCTTATGCCCGAAATAACAACACACAAACTGTATTCATTTAAACACTGCTTGGCCCATTCTCTTCTAGGCTAATTCTCACATATTAATTTAGCCCATTTCTAATCATCTGTGTGTAGCACCCCAAGGTGCGCTTACCGGGAAGATTCTAGCCTATGTCCATCCTGGGTCGGAGCTGAATCGTGTGTGTCTGCCCAGGAGAGGATGGTATCTCTGAGCTCACTTCCTCTTCCTCCCAGCATTCTGTTCTGTTTACTCCTCCCACCTATGTTTTAACCTATGAGGGCCAGCTAAGCAGTTTCTTTATTTTTTTAACCAATGACCTTCGTCCATCACTTGGAAGCATTAGAAACGATGAATATGAAGTCTCTTGGCACAGCCCTGGAACATGGAAAGTGGTCCAGATAGTAATATCACCGCCCTTTGTGGAGATAAAGAGCAAGGACCCTACCTCCGTATGGGGCGAGCACTCAAAATGGCAGGTGTCAGAGAACCTGCCTCCAAGTGAGCATCCATCCTGAGAGGCATTTAGCCAGAATTATGAAGGTTCAGTAAGCAAAACTCACACCAAGTCCTTTCAAAGATGAGGTTCTATAGAACAGGTGTGTTTTCTCTTACCTGCAGAATGATGTCACCAGCAAGCAAGGTCCTCACTTCCAGTTGCAGTGAAGGGAAGACAGGTTGCAGGTCACTTTCAATCTCCTTGACTTCAGTGGCATACCCCTTTTTGATTAATTCATGAAAAAAAAAGGCCTAGGGGCTGGAGAGATGGCTCAGTGGTTAAGAGCATTGCCTGCTCTTCCAAAGGTCCTGAGTTCAATTCCCGGCAACCACATGGTGGCTCACAACCATCTGTAATGAGGTCTGGTGCCCTCTTCTGGCCTGCAGACATACACACAGACAAAATATTGTATACATAATAAATAAATAAATATTTTAAAAAAGAGAGAAAAAAAGGACTATTTGTAATCTCAGGATCGGGAGAACCTTCATTTAGGAGAGCAAGCCCGAAGGAAACGTGACTTTGTCATCAATTAGGCTTTTTTAAAAAGAAGGCAGGAAAAGAAAATTAATGCATTCTTTTTTACTTGTAGAAATAGCTAAAAGACCAGAGGAATAGAGTTAGCTGAACAGGTTAAAAACAGATATAAAAAGGCTGTAGTTGACATGACTCAGTCTCCCAAATAATGGTAGCTTGTGATTTGCCACGTGGGGTCTGGGCGGTGTGGTTCTATAGCCTCACACTAGCGTACTACTAGGGGAATAATTTTAGCCATGCCTTTTTCCTTAATGAAAATGTTTTGAGGACCTGAGCTGCTCTTTGCCTTGTCATTTGAACTATATTTCATCACAGCCCGTTTTACTATGTTTGGAAATTCATCTGGGATGATGAAAAAGCCAAATTACAAACTGGCCTCCAGCCTTGGGGAAATAACTTGGGTATTTTGTTTACAGGCCAGGGGGATGAAATCTGCCCCTTTGAAGCCTTCCTCTTGACACATTTCTGGCCAGGCTACACCGAGGAAGTAGATGTTTGAAGTGCAGGGGATGTTGTGTTTCTCGTCCAGGCTTTGGAAAGTTTTCACAATATGAAACTGATTAAAGCGGAGGCACATGGTGCTCCTCCTGCCTGAAGACCTCCTCCCCTCAACCCTGGACAGAATACTCTCCATATATCCGTAGGTCCCTGTTCAAAGCTGTCAGTCCCTTACCAAGCTGTCCCCACTAGCCCTCTGGTCTGCAGCCCCAACCACGCCCACATTCCATGCCTTTACTGCACTGGCCCCTCCAGTCTCCCGCGTCCCCACATGATTTCCGATTATATATTTATCTGAGTGGTGATTATTCGCCTCTCTCCCCAGATGAATATAAGATGTCATTTGATAATGTTTTCCACTGTATCCTAACACTTAGCACAGTGTTGGCATGCTTAAAAAAATATTTATTGAATGAGTGGATCCATTCCAACTTTTTATGACATTAAACCACACAAAGACATAACTCATTGTCAATTTACCAAGAACTAAGCCTTCTCGGAAAGTTAAGAGGTCAGCCCAACCTCGCACCACGGCTACATGTTCCTTCCTTTGGGCCCATTTTCTACTTTTAAAATATGCCACTGACATGGTGGCATATGCTCTTAATCCCAGCTCTAGGAAGCCAGAGGCTGGAGGATCTCTGTGAGTTCGAGGCCTGCCTGGTCTACATAAGGAGTTCCAGGATAGTCAGAACTAAATAGTGAGACCCTGTCTCAAAAACAACCAACAAAGCAAACCAATGTCCCTGTAGAAAGTGTGTGTGTGTGTGTGTGTGTGTGTGTGTGCGCGCGTGAGTGAGTGAATCCTTGAAAACATGATTCTGTTTGTTCATCAAAGTCGGGCAAAGGTCCTTTGGAAAAACAGATTGATGAGATCTTTCTTGACTGGCCACACGGGCAGAAGTATTCATGCCAAAGGGCATGAGTGACACAAACAGTGATTAGTCCCCAGACCTGACACATTCCCCCATACTACCGGGGACTACACTGTTTGCCGATAGTGTTTTGGGGAAAAGTAAAAATTTAACTCAAAGGGTAGACGTGTTTAGGTAATAGTGATGGTTTCTGATAAGGCGGCCTGAGAGACTTGCTTCTGGTCTTTTCTATGCCCGCCCCCACAATCCCTTCCCACAAATTCATGAAGGCCAGCACTAAGTTCATTGCACCCCTCCGCTTACACCAAGCACTCAGCAATTAATTCCGAGTGCCTAATGGAGCCCACCTCCCGCCTGGTTTCTTCTGTAGGGAGACAGTTAAGAATAATCAACTAAGAAAGCTATGCAGGACCCAGTACAGGATAATGTTGCATGTGATTGAGATATGAATATTTAGCCACTCTACGTAGAACCCCAACAACAGACCAAAAAAAAACAAAAAAAAAAAAAAACAATTCTACCCAAGTTTAGCTTAGCGAACCAGCCAGTGTATTGAGTTTACTCACAGAGCACTAGTGAGCAGTTACCTACAGGAGCCTGAAAGACTGGAAGCCAAGTGCAGCATGGATCACAATGAAAGCTGCCTTCCTGGAGCTCCCTGGGGGAGTTCTCATGAAATCGTTAGTGCTCATATAATCTTGGTGGTGGTAGGGGGTAAATCTTGGAATTTTCAGGAACTTCCTAAAAATCTGCAGGTTTCCTTTACTTCTTGAGTCTTAGGGAGCACCCCTCCAGGAGTGAATGCTTTCAATCTAGAGGAAGTAGCCACACAAGACAAAACAATATGGACACTGTAACCACTGGAGTCTAGAGAAAGATCTGAGCGTTGGCCATTCACTGTAGACCCAGATGAGACAGAATTCTTCTCCTAAGGGTTTTGCCAGGTGTTCACAGTAAATGCTGGAGAAAAATGCCCTCCCTCCTGTTTCCTTCAAGGAAGAGCAGAGAAGGAAAGGAACAATTTAGAAACACACTGGGGGTTCTCTTTTCTTAACAAGGTGTGCCTTCAAGGGAGGCCAGTGAACCAGTGAACCAGCGAACCAGCTGGTGCCTAACCAGAGCCTAACTGATCTAGAAGAAGGGAACTTCTAACTGGAGCCCCTTCTAGCCTTCCTGATGCACCTAAAGGAGAAAAGCTGAGACCCTTGAAGATTGTTCAAGTCCCGAGGTGTGGTCTCACTCAGAGACGTCACTGAAAGACCACAGAAAGTCCCTCTCCCCTCTACCTAACGCCCACACCACCGGAGCCCCATTTACAATGGTTCCTTCACCCAGTACATCATGCCTAGCTACAAGAAAGAAAAAAAAGTTGCTGTAGCCATGTGTGCCTGAAGTCCCAGCCAATTAGAAGGCTGAGGCAAAACTTGTGTGAGTTTAGGCCTGACCTAATCGACGTAGCAAGATGAGAGGGGAAGAAAAGAAGAGAGGAGAACAGGAGAGGGGGAGGAAAACACACTAAAAGAAGAAAACCTAATTTTAAGGAAAACAACAAAGCATCGGACAGGAAGAGCAGCAGTGGGGGAAGTTGGAAGACCTGACAGAGACTTGCAACAGCTGTGACTGACATGTCAAAGGCTTTAACGGGTAAAGCAGACAGCAACCAAGAGCAAATGGGCAACTGAACAAGTAAGAAAAAAAAAAATAAAAAGAAATGCAAGAAAGAAAAAAACGACTAGACTAGACATAGACAATGCGTTAGATAGGATGTTAGTAGATAAGACTGATGACTCTGTCTTGGACAACCTCTCAGCAGAGACCTCCAAAGCCGAGAACACAAAGAGAAGAAAAATGGAGAAATCAAAACAGAACACTCAAGAACTGTGGCAGATCTGTAAAGATATTAACTTACGATGTGCCTAATAGACATGTCTCAAGAAGGGGAGACTAGGTTTCTCAAAACTTATTTTCCTTATTTTTAGTTGACCTAGCATAATGTCTTGTGCTAAAGAATAACAGCAAGAATTCATGAAGTTATGTATAGCTGGGTATCTCTTGTTTGTGTGCTTATGCATGCTTAGCTATAACTAAAAGGAACGATAGCCATGGCGGAAAGCAAGAGAAAGGAGTTTGGTTATTTTGCTATTGCAAGACACTCACAGAACCCATGAAACTATGCAGATTTTTTTTAAAGTACAGTTGGGTTCATTGTAAACTTAAATTTCAAAATTCAGGGTAACCACTAAAAAACAAGAGGGAAAAGGGGTGGAGGGGAAGAGGAGGGAGAGGAAGACTGAGAAAGGAGGAAAATGGAATTACATAAGATGTTCAAAATGACAAAAGGTAGAAAGAGAGTGAAGACAAAATCTGGACCAAAGAACAAGTAGAAATGCCACAAGTCTGGCAGACATTGATCTATGACATCAGCAATCGCTTTGAATGCCAGTGGTCAGCAGAGAGCTGACTGGGGTGGCCAGATCACTCCCAACTCTATGTTAGGGACCACACATAGGTAAAGAAACAGAGCATCCCATTCTTCCTAGAGTCCCATTATATCCTCCTACTGTCCACCTCAGGAGACACCTCCCTGACGTCAAAGGACAGGGTTTGGCTTCCGGCTTTGGCAAGGCCTCGTTTTGGACCTAGCTTCTTTCACAGCACATTATGTTCCTGCGCATCATCTAGATCTTTCAGAGGCAAAATGGCTGCCAGATGATCAACAGCACAGACATCCTCACAAACCTAAGGGCACACTGACCCGGGGTAGGCTGTGATGTCTGAAGCTGGGCCCACCAGAGGGAGCGGCTTTCTGGAATCAAACAGCACACTGCGAGGTTTGAGAGACAGTCAGCATCCGGTTTGCATCCTCACCAGCACAATAAGATGGACAAATAGAATTTGCAGTCAATCCTGATTTGCGTTAGTTTATAACCACCGAATTTTCCCCAATCCTCTGTTTCTTCCAAAGAACGCACAGCTCACTTTGGGTCGTGGGAGACCAGCGTACCCTCCCAGCTCACTATCCAGCTGTGGTTTTGTGAGGATTTGTTGCAGTGATATTTTGTTTGTGTTTGAACAAATAAAGCTTGCCTGAAGACCAGAGCACAGAGCTAAACCACTAGAGGCCAGGGAGTGGTGGTACACACCTTTAATTCCAGGACAGAGGCAGAGGGACCTCTGTTAGTTCAAGGCCACCCTGGGCTGTGCTAGAATAAATCTGTCTAAAAGGGAGAGAGAGCTCACACAAAGGTGATCCCAGCACTTGGGACTCCACACCTTTAATCCCAGCCATAGGGAGGTGGAGACAGGAGTGAAAGGGCTGACACAGAGAG